GCCGTCCGGCCCTGCTGCGTCTGTCCTGGCGTGACTTCACGGACCAGGCCCACAGAGAAAGCAGTGAAAGTTGGAAGAGAGAGTGAGTGTTTGTGTGTTCCAAAGGCAAGTCGAGAGAGGTAGGGGGGGTTCAAGGTTTGTTTCACCCCCGGACAGAGTTCGCCGCTCGCGGCCAATCCCCGCCGACGGCCATCCCCCATCAACGACTGTCCTAAACTTCTGGACGACAGCTTATCAACCGGACTCAAGGCAATGCGTGTCTCAGGAAGGCCGCTGTAAATTCGGCCTACTCGATGGTGAAAGGCAAGTACAGCCCGTCTTGAATGTACGCGGGGACGTACGTCGTCTGAATTATTGTGCCCCGTGCATGCCGAGAGCGACATCGAGATCAGTGTCTTGAAGCCTTCCAGCTCAGCACTCGCCAGCAATTCGCAGCTTGGTACCCCCTTGTATTCGAGGCGTACGAAGGACAGAAGCTTTGGATGTCTCCCCGTATGTCGTCTCTTCCCTCCAATACGCACGCACTGAAACGACGTGGGCTAACCATCAATGCTCAGACCGCCAGAGGGGTTGGGCTCTGCAAGGCACGGTCGAAGCTAGAAGATGGTGAGGGATCATGACGTTCCGTGAGAAGGGAAACGAGGCGTAAATAAGAGTCATCGTGCTCCCGTACTTCTGCTCTGTTGTTCGTCCCGAGCGTGACTCTCTACTTCAAGGGCGTGCCAAGCAACCATGGGATAAGGGACCCTGATCACGAACACCACACTCAACAACTCAACATGAACACCTTCAACCCTCGTCGGGTCTCGTACCTCAGGCCGCCTACCACGGTCATTGAGGTTCGCGAGTCCTGGGCGTCGCCATACCCATCGCTCAGCTCCATCGGATACCCCCCTTCAGAAAGATCGGCCGACGAGAGGTTCGCATCTGCTGTCTGGAAACGCACATTCAACCATGTCGACTACGCAGCGTACAAGGCAGCCTGTGACGCTGAGAGAGAGGCGAAGCCAGAACGAGACCCCGATGTCTTCTCAACTACATCGAGTGGAACGCGTAAAGGTTTCTCAAGACTGGGTGCAATGCTCACCATCTACCCCTATCGCGATATGGGATGGCTTGTTACCATGGTTTTCATCGGAGCCGGGATCTGCCTCTCACTGAACGGCATTTTCAGCCTCATTCATCTCCTCGACCCTAAGCTTGACTTTCCTGGACGCGACACAGGAGTACAGGTCACTGCTACCTTAGGCAGCGCTCTGCTCGCTCTCAGTGCCTTCATGGGTCTGCTTGCTGCATTCAACGTCGACAGAGGCACTCTGGACCCGAAGAAAGATGCACCCGATGCTTACAAGCCAGCGCTTCTGGGCAGCGAAGAATGGGTCTGGTGGCCCAGCTGGTACGAATTCCGCAACATCTTCTGGCCAAGCTCAGCTTTCCGCGCCGGTATCCTCCAACTACTCGCCGGCTCCTTCTTCACCATCGCCGCGATCGCCATCCTACCTGGCGTCCTCGACCTCACACACCCCGACGCCTCCATCATCTTCGTATCTGCACCTCAACTTATTGGCGGCAGCCTTTTCGTGCTTGCCGGCCTACTCATGATCTTCTTGTCCCAGGACAAGTGGTACGTCCCGAAGCTGCTGGACGCTAGTTGGCAAAACGGATTCTGGAATTTGGTTGGCGCAAGTGGGTTTTTAGCTATCGGCGTTGTGACTTTGCTCGCAAAGACTGCGACTGTGGCGATTGCGTCACTATTTCTTATGAGCGGACTCGGGTTCTTGATTGCCAGTCTGATCCAGTGGTACATCATTATGGAGTTCTACCCGGTCGATCCTTACGTAAAGGATCCGACGCAGGTGGCAGAGATTCCTTCGCAATCAATCTATTAACGACACTTTTATGAATTGGGAACAGGGGTTAACGGGGCTCAAGGTTGGGCTTTATACCAGACGTAAAACAGATTTTAGATACCGACTCAGATTATAATTGATGATTTAATGACTTAACAGAGAGACCATCCTCTTATGCAGCGTGACTCGGACGACAAACATGAACGTGTTCAAATCGTGGTCGGGGTCCGATGACGCGGTGGATTCTCGAAATTGGGCGAACATTTTGATGCAACGAAATCCAACTCCTCACCGTCTTGACTTTGACACTGAATTCAGAGAAAATGGTTTACAATAGCCACAGTTTCTTCAATTCACATCCAAGTCGTATGTGCACAGGCTTCTCACAGAATCCATGCAGTAAGAGGAACGGACGATCGGTTGACAGCAACGCATAATGGATCTCCTAGTTGTCCCCCACAAGTCATGAGACGGTCATTCGAAATCTGATCTTATGATCGGTAAACGGTCAATGTTTCTACCTAAACCTGTTCTTCGCCCCGTCCTACCTTCTTGCCAGGCCTTTAAAAAATTATGCCATGACCAATTTCCGCCCTTCACTATGCCTGTCTTCTAGCAAAATTGCCATGGGCTTTGAAAAATGCTCTCATTCGCCGCAAGATCATAACACCCATGCGGGCCTCTTTACTTTTGAGCTCTGCGAGCGGCAATGGTGTAGAAAAGGCTGCCATCGTAGATTCCTCGGATATCTTCCTTGTTCATCCTACCGTCTGCCGGCCAAAGCATAAGATATGTAGCAAACCCTGTTCGTTGGTTAGTATCGGGCAAGCGTCCATGTGAAGTACCAGAAGCAGACTCACACTCAAAGAATGCACCGCCCCAACCAATTGGATCAGCAACGAGCCTCTGACCCTTCAGCATCGCGAAGACGTCCCAAATTGTCATGTAGTCTCTTCCCTCGGCATACTTAGAAAAGATATCCTCAAACTTCTGCGGGTTGAATCGACCCTCGGTATCGTACGTGTTTGTGTCACTACCGTGCTTGTCCTTGTGAACCCGGTCGAGGAAGATGCGGAAGAGAGGGTCTGGCAGATACCCGCTCACTGTCGGGTAAGAGAAGTTGCCATGGATGATGAAGACCGAAAGAACTGAGAGAATGACCCCGAATCCCAATGCGTAGAATCCCCAGAATGTATCATGGGGGTAGATCACTCCATCTTTGTCCTAATATTATCATTCAGCCTTTTCTGTTCGACCGCGAGGGAGGGGAATCATTACACTATCGAAGAACTCGCAATGCTGTTGCAGCACTGTTTGATGACGATGCCTTTGCGCCCAACCATGTTCCGTCGTGCCGTTCGGCTTCTCGTAGGTCGCCGCAATATTGACCCTAGGAGTACCTAGCAGTCTTTAGTGTCCTGCCCGCACGATATGTCGTGATGTCCCAACCATACCTGTGTGCGCCAGCTTCTGATCCTGCTCCGGTTGGAAGAAAGGTTTACGCTGCTGCGTGACCGGGACCTCCGGAATGGACCAAATCACTGGTTCTCCGAGCTTGTCAGCCTGCTTTTTAGGCTTTTGCGGCCTTTGCGGCTTCTCCATCTTCGTGTAGTTGTGATCTTCGAGAGTCGCCATGGTCACAGTGCCTTTCGGTCAAATCTGTAAAAGTACCTAGCATGAGCCAGTCAGAACAATCTGATTAGAAAATCCCTGGTTCGTGGTGGCATTTATCATGCTATCTTGAGCTACGCGAGCTAAGACAATTCCGAACATGCGCTGTTCATCGTGACGTCACTGAGCCCGTCCAAATACCTTAGCCCATCGCGGTGTTCAGGCCATAATCCGTCTTGATTTTCATGTGCCACTTCAGCATGTGATAATTGGTACTGTTGCATTCCTCTTCATGCTGCTTGCTGCTGACGGATGTGGTCGGTCGTAGCTCTGAGGAGCTATGTTGCAGCTTCTGATAGGTCGTTTCGAGCCGCATTCTTGCATGGGTGAACCACCTCGGGCCGATCGCGACCATGACGGATTAGGTAGAACAATGAGACAGCATAGTCACCTTGAGATACTTTGATATTGCCATGGCAACTGGATGTCACCTCTCAGCTACATCACATCGTGCCTCTTTGAAGCAGTGTACGTGTGATGTAATTAACCTCACTTCACTGCGAGCGGAACGTCCTCCTACTGGGATTAAATATTCATACACGACATGTTACAAGTCTTCGATGACAAGATTAATTGCAAGAAACAAAACCAAGGCCCCAGAAGCCCGGAAATTAAAGAGTCACAAACCACTTTGAGTTGGAAGTGACACGTACACGATAATGAAAGTGGCGACGATGGCAGAAAATGGCAAATTGCGCAATGACATTGAGCATACCAACCTCCTGGTGAGGCAGGAGCCTAATGAGGACCGTCTTTCGAGTCTTGCTTCTCTGATCCTTTGGGCGGAAATCAGACAAGGTAGTCTCAATTCACATAAGTCAACATACTTAACATTACTGTGTCTGGGCTTGGTCATACCTGTTCAATTCTCATGACTGCCGTGCAAATTCTTTAAAGCCAGTTCATACGATCCCATGCACAACCCTACGATTGTATTCCAGTAGCAAAGCGGTGAGGAACGCTCAGCCAACAGTTCATAAGCGGCAGAATGGTCCAGAGAAGCACAAAAAGCTTGTTGTACATGATTATAGTGCTATGCTTCGATTCTCCGGCGTGCGGGAGAGCTATGAATATCTGCTGAACTCCGTGACATAATGAGGCGGAGGAAAAGTTCTCCCAAAGATTATTCGAGGATCGAGGGACAAGAGCTAAGGGGGTAGGATGGTGGGAATGCAACTACTCAATTGACCAACAAGGGAGTTCTCATCTGGAGACTGGCTGCGTATAATCTCCATCAAAAGTAAGTAACCCAGCTTCCGTCATTATAGTAGTCATATTCCAAAAAGTGAGCGAGAGTCCAATGAATGAGCAACCTTAGCGACATCCGCATTCAGTTACGATGCGGCCACGAAATAGCATAATAGTAATTTTAGCAACTCCTTCGGCGACCGAAATTTCGCACGAGGGCAAACAGACTTGCGCGACTGAATGTCACAACCATAGAAATATCGCCTCTTTTCTCTAAGCAAAGGCCGTCGTGCTGTTCGTGCAAATTTGTGCAACAACCAGAGCAGACCCCATGATGATCTTTGCGAGACGAACGGGTCGCGAGGAGGGTTGCCGGCCTTTATTTACGAAACTCGTGGGCATGAACAAACATGCTTAGGCAGTGGTGGGAATTCAGGCCAAGGCCGTGATTATGGGATGATCAGGTCATCGTCGCGTCAGGATTTTCCACAGTTGCCGCCCGTGTGGTCCCCGAAGACACCAGCATCCTGCCATACCTCTTTTGGGGTCCTGATCGTTGGCTTTCCGCGGCAGGCCGTGAACGCTTGGACAGTGCTCGGGCTCGAACCACTCGGCGGCAACGGCTTACCCGTCGTGAACGAAAGACGTCGGTTTGTCAGTGTAGTGAAACAAGACTCGCGCAGACATACATCCCCGAGCTGAAGAGAAACAAACGGCGTCCTGCCGACGACCTTTTTGTCTTGTCTGCCCACGCCGACCGAGTGGAAAAACACGTTCGTCTCTTGGCGGCATTGGACACACGTCACAGCTGCATCGACCAAGTGATCTCGTCCTGTTACCATCAGTGCGGCCCAATGACTCTAGACCGTTCGGCATGCACGACCGTTGAGCCTTGGTCTCACATTAAGTCGACCTGTTTTTCCGGGGCGCAATGTATGGAAGTCCTGAGCACGAGGTGACCTACGTCTCGAAGCTTCGCTGGTTGTCAAGTTCATCTCAACTCATTGCTTATGAGCTTGCGAGGGTGTTTGAGACTAGCTGTTTCTAAGATGTCAACTCTGGAAGACTGCGAAACAAAAAAGGCCATCGTTTTCGGGATAAGGATACGGAAATAGCTCAGGGCATGTCTGATAGACCACCATAGGCGGTTGAAATTGAAAAGACACACCGTGAAAATATCTTTGATCAGACTTCACTGCGTCGTAGCTTAAGGTACTCGACGTAGGTTCACAATGTTCCTTCGTGATCTAGAAGATCCAACGGCCTTCGAATCGCAACGTGGAAACAGATCTGGAAACGGTCGATAGCCATCAGATGACGAGCTTGCATCTCGCATGGACTGAGTACATTTTACCAAAGATTGAATTACTCAGAATGCACTTGACTGTGTCTCCCGCTTAGATCGCATCGCCCGATGAAAGGTTGAGCAACTCACTTCCCAAAGAGGTCTTTCAACCTCGTGTGGCACTTTGTATCTAACGAGAGCATAGCAGTGAGAACCGGATTCATGCGCCGGATCGTTCTGATATCCTGGAATAAAAAAAGAAAGCTTGCGGGGTATCATTACTTGAAGGAGCAAAACAATATGATCAGTGGGAGGCTTGAACTCCCGGCCTTGGCATTACTCAACATTTCTGATGAAATATTAGTACCACGCTCTAACCAACTGAGCTAACCGACCATTTGGTTGTTGATGATGGATTTGCAGAGTTTTCATGTTATGGAGCTCAGTGGTGGAGTCGCGAGTGAGTCATTACCAAGAGTTCTCTTATCGACGGGGGGCTGGGTGTTTTGCGTGAATTGCAATGACAGTGCGGGGACATCTTGCGTCAAATAACGTTTGCAATCCAATTGCGACCTGCAGATAGAGTAAGTAGTGGAAAAGAAGTGACCTGCTGAGCTTAAGAAACGAGGCAGTTGTCTAATCTGACCCCATCAAGAACGGTTCGCTGTGAGTGCTGAGGGTTGGTCAACTGACCACTCGTCATCGGGCGAATAGCATCCGAAAAGGCGATCATCGTAATCTTCGACGCGCTGTTTTTCTTCTTTGGCATACGCCAGCACACAAAGCCTCTGTTAAGCAGGGTAGAAAAAGATAACTTGGGAATACTTGGAATCTGGCAATCTGGATCCTGCAGAACATCAACAAGCAAAGAGAATGAATGGCAATGCATACGCGGAAAACCAGACCGCCAGACCATCATGACGTCGCAAGAGCCCCATGATGCCAGGTTCTCCCTTCGGATCCGGACCCGAGACTCCGCGATGGTTCCCAGCTCCGGGGGGCGCGCCATGTGGCCCTCCCCCAGACCTTGCAGGGCTAGAGTCGCACCAGGAACCAGGCACAAGTCCCCCGCGCCTATCAAGGGGGAAAGCTTCTCACCCGTGTCACCCAACGGCAGCCCAAAAGAGGCAAAGCTGAGTGTCACGCAATGACCCTGACCGCCGGCCGAGGGAGAGGCGTCTGTCTCTGCTTTACTTCTCCCAGCGGGTGCCCTTTTCTACTCTCCGTTTCCTAAAACATCCATTCCATCCGGAAACCTTCCATCACGACCTCTACTCTCGAACACGCCTTGTTCAACACATGCCCCCAACTCTTACCAACGGCCTCGGAGAATCGAGCTCAAAGGCATAGAACGTTTGTGCCAGCCCTCTCTGCTTCTACCCCGGATTCTTGAAACCTGAACCCGGTCACATCAAGTAACCCACGCCCGGATGTGCTCTCGCCCTGCCATGTGTTAAAGCATCGCTCGATATCGACAAGGCTGTGCACTTTTATCTCGCTGAAGTGACGAACGACAATGGACAGAACCGATCCCGCCATCATGGACTCGGGGGCCCGGGAGCCAACGTGCATCAATGCTTCGCATCCCCGAGCTGCAGAAGATGAGAAGATCTCTCTCCATTTGAATGGCCAGCCCTGCAGCTTCTTGACCGACGAAATCATGCCCGATGAGACTCAATTTCTTCACGCTACCAAGGACTCCAAAGAAGCTGCCTACGCTAACCAACAACACCCTACTACCAAACGGCCAACTAGACTTGCCACCCTCTTTCCCCCGCTGCAAAGATGTACGAGACCATGGACTACAGGCGCGTTCGCGTTGTACCTCACGGGCCTCATCCTAATCTCGGCCTACTCTGCCAGCAGGCTATTCGACGCCGGCAGCTGGCTAGCCCGTCGACCAGCACAGCCAGCGGCGCCAGCAGCTGCTTTTCCGGCCTCTCGGATCTCACCAGCCTCCCCAGTCCGGAACTGGGATGCGGCCGCCTCCAAGGCGACGGCCTTTGTGGCCCAGCTCAATCTGACCGAAAAGACTCTCATGGTCACTGGCCAGCTCGGGCTTGAGGCCGGCGGTTGCATTGGCAACATTGTGCCAATCGAGCGCGTCGGGTTCCCCGGACTTTGCTTGCTCGACGGCCCCACGGCGCTGGACCGCGCCGATCTCGTCAGCGTCTTTCCCGCCGGTCTCACCACGGCCGCGAGCTGGGACAAGGAGCTCATCTATCAGCGCGGCAAGGCTCTCGGCGAGGAGTTTCACGACAAAGGCGTCCATGTCGGACTTGGGTGAGTTTGGAATTCCTTGAGCGTTAAGTCAACAGCATGCTAATAAGCCATGCAGCCCGGTCGCTGGTCCACTTGGACGTCAACCCCTAGGAGGTCGCAATTGGGAAGGATTCTCAGTTGATCCCTACCTCACGGGAATCGCGATGCAACACACTATTCAAGGCATGCAATCAGCAGGTGTACAAGCTTGCGCGAAGCACTTTATTGGGAATGAACAGGAAACCCAGCGGACCAATTCGTGGCTCGCAAACGGCACAGAAATCGCAGCGATTTCGTCCAATATCGACGATCGCACCCTGCATGAGTTGTACTTGTGGCCTTTTGCAGACTCTGTCCGTGCTGGGGTTGCCAGCGTGATGTGCAGCTACAACAGACTCAACCAAACCTATGCCTGCGAAAATTCGGGTTTACTGAATGATATCCTCAAGACGGAGCTGGCCTTCAAGGGATACGTCATGTCCGACTGGTTCGCGACGCATTCCGGAGCCGAGTCTATCAATAACGGCTTGGATATGAACATGCCTGGGCCCATTGGCCATGCCCAGATCGTCTCTGGCGAGACATACTGGGGTCCTAACATCACTGATATGATCAAGAATGGTTCAGTCACAGAAGACCGTCTTGATGAGATGATCCGGCTGATTATGACACAATACTATCTGTTCGACCAGGATAGCTCCGATTATCCCACCGTCGACCCATCCATCGTCTTCACAATTGCAGCTCAGTCAAACCTTCTAGACTTGCTCCCCTTCCAGCCGCCACCAAGCCGCGATGTCCAGCGTGACCACGGCAAGCTGATCCGCAAGCTCGGTGCCGAAGCAACAGTCCTACTCAAAAACCTTAATGGTACTCTCCCCCTTGAAAAGCCCACTAACATTGGCGTTTTTGGCAATGACGCCGCCGACCCGGCCGATGGTCTCGTCTTTGGTGCTGGATTTGAAATCGGCACGCTCTCCGTAGGAGGCGGCTCAGGCACAGGGAGACACACCTACCTCATCTCCCCGCTTGAGGCAATCAAGGCCAAGGCGCGCACAACAGGCGCTCGCGTGCAGTACATCCTTGACAACAAGGTTCTTGCTGCCGGCGACTTCAGCAGCTTGTACCCTATCCCTGAAGTTTGTCTCGTTTTCCTCAATACGTTCGCGTCAGAGGCTTATGATAGGACGAGTCACGAAGCAGACTGGAACTCGACACTGGCTGTCGAGAATGTCGCTCGGAGGTGTCCAAACACCATTGTCGTTACGCACTCAGCTGGTATCAATACTCTGCCCTGGGCGGACAACCCAAACGTAACAGCAATCTTGGCAGCGCACTTGCCGGGACAAGAGTCGGGGAACTCAATCGTTGATGTGCTTTGGGGAGACGTCAATCCCTCCGGGAAGCTGCCTTACTCGATTGCTCTCGATGCTAAAGACACCGATATTCCCATCGTCAATCTCACCGAAGCAGAAATCACGTCCCCCACAGCATGGCAAGCTGATTTCACAGAGGGCCTTCTCATTGACTATCGTCAACTCGATGCCGAGAATATCAAACCCCGTTATGAGTTCGGCTTCGGCCTCAGCTACACCACATTCGACTTGGACACATCTCTGAAGGTCAAGCAGCTCGCAAAGAACGTCGCCGCCATCCCGAACCCCTCAACGCCGAATGTTCCCGGGGGTAACCCAGAACTCTGGGAGACTATCCTTGTTGTCACCGCCCACGTAAAAAACACCGGCACCGTCGCTGGCGCCACGGTCCCTCAGCTATACGTTGCCTTGCCACAGCACTCAGTTCCCGAGGGCACCCCCCTTCAAGTCTTGCGTGGTTTTGAGAAAGTCATTTTGGAGTCAAAGGAGTCTAGCACTGTCGAATTTGAGTTACTGCGCCGTGATCTGAGCTATTGGGATGTAGCGTCGCAAACGTGGGTCATCCCTGAGGGGCCGATTGAGTTACGCGTTGGCTTTAGTTCTCGCGACATCAAGGCTACGGCCAAACAGGTTGTCTTGTCCTCCTAGGGCACGGTTTTGGAGTTCAAAAGAATGTTGTTGGCTTTCTGGGCACAGTTTGCCCAAAGCGGCTGAGGTATATGTTTAAATAGACGTAGCATCAACTGGCTCTTCATGTTGTTCAAATCTACACAATCTCA